TTGGAATAACCAAAGACACTACCCAATCTCTATTCTTCTCTTGAGTCTAGCAACCTCCATTGAAGGAGATTGGGCATTCGAATAAGTGTTCTTCTCTTACAAGACAACAAGGTGGTGTGGATTTCCATCGGAGGACTTGTGTTCTTCAAGTCTGAAGAATTGATCAAGAACGCATTTGATCAGGAATAATAATCCAAATAAAGGTATATACTTTAAACCCTAACATGTCTATTGCATGATTCATGGGTTAAACATGATTGAGGGTGGGCAAAGGTTGCTTCTTCCGCATAATTTTTTTTAATTTTTCCCTCTTTAATGTTCATGGCCTACAAAAGGCGACTTTCATAGGTATAAGTTAATATCTCTTTGCGGGATACAGCCCCTGGAGTATAGCCTAGAAGTATGTATGTCTATGAAATATGTAGAGTAAACACCTTTTTTAGTCCCTGACAATATTTACGAAGTCCTTTTCAGTCCCTGGCAATAAAAAAGGACCAAATTGGTCCCTGAAAGTACAATAAAAGGGTCACTCTACATATTTGGGAGTTGACATAAGGACTAACATGGCCCTTTTTTTGTAATTTCAGGGACCAATTTGGTCCTTTTTTATTGCCAGGGACTAAAAAGGACTTCGTAGATATTGAGAGGGACTAAAAAAGGTGTTTACTCTTATGGGTATGAAATATATGATGTATTTTATGCTATGTTATCTGACATTATGTAGGAAGTGAACTCATGGGTGGAGAGTACTCCATAAACTCTGAGTTTACGAGATTTATTTCTCACCTCGCGTTATGGGGATATATTTCAGGTACTTTAGCTACAAGAGATCTTTCACATGGTAATAGGATAACGTAGGGATAGAGATCCCAGTTATGCTGGAGAGATGCCTAGATACTTTGGGATGATGACTGGATTTATTATTTTGGCATGATGTATGACCATGCACTTGTATAGTTTTTATTGTTTTGAGAGGCATGTGTAACCTGCAAGAAAATGGCCTTGAAGGCCGTAGGCATGTGAGGATGAAAACAAAATTTTTCAAAAGCGGAAACACACATGCCAATCAAGATATGTACTTTAGGACGTAATGATATACCTTGTTCGTGATTAAAACTCCAAGGTGATCAATGTAAGGTTTGAAAGGGTTCAAACCCTCTAATGTTGATCCACACCACCCTACGTCAAGATGCAAGAACCCTTCTTGAAAAGCCACCAATTAAACACCACAAAGAAGGTTGGCTAGGCGTTCAATAGATGAAGAAGGAGGCAAGGTTAATGTGTTTAGATGAGTGAAATTTTCAGCTTAAAACTTCACAAAAGTGGCGCATGGAAGTGATAAGAAGTTGCTAGGATATTCTTCAAAACACTCTTAAGAAAAACCTAACAAAAGGATGACAAAAGGAGATGAGAGAGTCTAAGCATTCAAGTCATATTTTTCACTTAAAAATCTTATCAAAGTGGCGCACACCAAGGGAGAAAAAGGTGGAGTTGTTGCAATTCAAATTTTCCCAACAACCTATCTTTTAATCCTCATGAGACTAGGCCTAAACCTTGTCAAAATTCTGACCTAATGACCATCATATGGCCAGCCATATGGTGCGCCCCTTTGGTCCACAATGCAGTCCAAATACATTGAGTAGTTGCATTCAAATTTGAACCAACTTACTCACTTATTCTCTCAACCTACGAAATTTGATTTGGAGCTTTTTGGTTGACTAAATGACACTCATAACAACCCAAATCAGTGCCCCAAATAACCTTGGATGATGCTCATATATCTCCTCTTGATACTAGGGATTTGTTCCAACAAGATCTTATCTTATCCTTTTGTTATGAAACAACTTTTCATAGCCAATTCAAATTCGAATTCAAACATTTAAATTCAAACGTTCAAACATTTAAATTCTAAATTCAAATTCTAAATTTAAATTCTAAATTTAAATATTTGATAGTTAATTTAACTAATTAAATTAATTAATAATGTCTTGGACAATCCAAGCCCATTACAATTACCATGCGCCCTTTCCCTCTTAAGTGGGCTTACAAACTTCTTCTTAGGCTAACAACCTTTATTAGGCCCAATACCTTTAATGCTATATCATCAAGACAATAAGGTGTTAGTGTGTGACCCATTAGGCCCAACATAGCCACTGACATAAATGGGCTTGGGCCCAACAAGCCCACAACCCATTTAATGACAACATAGAGCACTAGCAATGCTTTGTTGCCCCAGAGCTAGTTAGGTTAATGACATGATCATCCTATTACATATATTTGGTTACTGTATGTATTTCCTTTCGTCTCGGTTACCTTCCCTTTAAACCTAGGGTGAGGATATGTATCAACCCTTGCGGTTTAGGGTAAGCTTTAATTCGAAATAATGAATCTTCAATTTACTGACTCTAAATGCAGATCATCTTATGATCTCTTTTACTATGCATAGATTCCCGAGTCCTGTAAATGTCATCCCGATTTCTCCGGTTTACAGATAACCTAATCCCTTAGATAGATTTGACGAATTCCTTCAGCTTATCACCCTAGGCCTGTGCTCTTTCAGGATATGCCCAAAAGTATACCTATGAGTCTCCATGTTTCAGGCAGACGAGGTATACAATCAAAACATGCCTTCTAGAACACAGTCTAGGTGACAACTTATGGTCTAAGGAAAGACGTACCCAAATACTAAGAGACTGCTCTAATGATACTTTTGTAAGATTTCCTCATAGAGTCTCTTTGTGGGTCTGTTCAGTGCGAGCTATACCCTTATAGGTCTACCCACGACTTTAGCTAAGACATCTCCATATCTGTAGCTAATGAGGTCTTTACCTTGTATCCGAATACAAGTAGATAAGTCGTGCTAGTCTTTTCCGAGATTACTGATCCCCATTCTTAGTGTCTCTAGACTAGGAACATAAAATTAAGAATAAACATCTGGTATCCTTAAATCCTCATGATCGTGATCTCATCACAGATACTCAAGAGATACCTATTTTATTTCAAGGGGTTTATCCAGTTGCTCATATAATATATTAACAATAATATTGAGACAAAATATGAAACATGATAATGAGTGCTTATTATTTATTTGCGACAATATAAAAAGGTCCACATATGTCCTACTCTAATCAAAAGATTATCTCTAAGACATTCATATACTAACATAACCTTAGGTTATGATGTGATGCAGTATCTGTACATAGATGATCAGTGTATTGGCATGGAGCCATTTTTAGTCCATTGTGTTGGGCAATTAGATATATATAGGTGGTCTGGACTTTTCTGTATTTCAAGCACAAGATAACTATGGGAATTAATCCTTAGTTAAGTTCAGTTTACAGCTGTTATGCTGTCCGTTAGACACTGTTCAGAATGATACGAGATATCATAATTGGATAGTATTTTGACTGTTAATTACAGTTACCGAAAGAGTAAATAAGAGGTTTGTGTAGGTATGAAACTGTACAGATTATAATAATCTAAAAGGGAATTAGGCGATGAAATATGTAAAGATAATTTTAAAAAAAAATTAAGCCACTAATTACATGGATAACGGTGATACTTTTATAGGTTAAGTCTTCCGCGTAAGCATTTAATTATGCAGTGTTTCTGTACCATATGCATGTTAACTAACCGGTCGCGAACTGCGTGTTACAGTATTGTCAGTGTGAAATTTCTCTAAGCTATTAGCAATCATAAAACGGGCTGTCAAAATCATACAATTGAGCATTAAGAGCAAAATTGTATTTTTAACAATTCATTATGGCATCACATGCTATTAAATTCTAGAAAGGAAACAACATATATTCGTTATAGAAATCTCATGCATAGTTGGTTTTTCATTTCCTTGATCTACATCCATAATAATTTGGGTTTTCTTTAAATCAGCGTTGCAGGCAAATGAAATCTTTTTTTGTCTAAGATTACAGGGCATCAGCGATCAGCACTGCCCTAGATATGGATTAGAAACAATTACTAGACATGCAAAATCTCACAGACACACTACTTCAATATATTCAGATTCACAACAATTACCTTCGCCCTTGCGAATCAAACTTATATACTAAATCATTCACCATCGAATGTCTTCAAGTAGTCAGATCAAAAGGCATCAATATGATCTACTTTGGTAATTTAATTATGTCACTAAACCAGATTAATGTTGTTCAGTGAAATTGACTTTTGGAAACCTTTTGATTACTTGGGTCAACCTATGCCAACATACATTATCAACTTACACTAATTATTTTAAGTTATATCTCAGATCACTTCAACAACAGGCACTCACTCAAACAGTAGATTTAAATCAACAATTAGGCAATCGAGGATATGACCATGTTCAGTTCAAAAGTAATCCAGACTTAGATCAACAGACACTGGTGTATATGAGAAATGAGTAAGTGATGCAATTCAGGCAAGAAGTAACAATATTATCTCAAGCGAGAATCCATTTAGCAATTTGCTTCAGGCTAAACTTCAACACCAAAAAGATTGTTATATAGACAAGTACACTAATTTGGTTTCGCATATACCAAGTAATCAATTTATTTAAAAAAAAAAAAATAATAATATCCGCAGCACATTTAAAATATATTACACAGCGCTTTATTGATCAGTATTTTGGCACAAATAAATATTTCAAATAGTACAACTTTGGCAACTTATGTATACACAGGCTTTAGTTCAAGTAAATTGAGGACAGATCTGCACTCACACGAATAAATTGATCAGTAAAAGCAACTTATGTATACACAGGCTTTAGTACAACTTTGGCAACTTATATATTACACAGCGCTTTATTGATCAGTAAAAGCAACAAGGTTGTCTATAAACACAAGTTTTGCATTCAAGACAAACCAGATCTGTATACACAGGCTTTATTAGTTCAAGTAAAATTGAGGACAGATCTGCACTCGCACGAATAAAGAAATGGCCAAATGATGCACTAATATAAGAATTTATCATCTAGTTTACTAATGAAAATCAATTGTTATGCAGCAGCAAAATGATTGTCTTGTTTCCAAAGTTCAAGCTAAATAGATCACCGTGGTCTATTACTACATTAAATCATTACTAGAAAAGGTCCTCCATATCTTGAAAAAAAATTTCTATAACACCCCATATATCCCTTTCCTGCATAATCTAAAATTACTATTTACACTTAGTAGAAATGTTTTTTTTCACATTCCAAATTTTTTTTTTATACATTACATTTGGGTTTACTGCTGCCAACCATACTGTTGGTTGCGGTTTCCACCCATCATGTTTGAGCCACGACCCGCAGCTGATCCACCGTATGGACCACCTTGGGGATAATTTTGAGCTCCAACTCCATAGCCTCCACCGCTACCACCACCACTACCACGAGGACCACCACCACTAGACCCATAAGGTGCACCCCTCCCTTGAGGAGGATATGGCCCACTTCCGTAACCACCACCACCCCCTCCTCCTTGACCTCCCCGATTTAGGTGATTGTATCCCCCGCCACCGCCAGGGTTCCCACCGGGAGCATATCTTCCTGGCCCACCAGAGGGACCTCGAGGCTTTCCATAATGATGGCTAGTTCCTGCTGCAACTGCTGGTTGAGAGCCATGAATTGGGTGGTTAGGACCTTGCCGCATCTGGGTATGCTGTTGACCAGCCAGCTGAATGGGGGGAAGACGAGTATGCTGCTGTGGATGCTGCATTTTAAGACGCTTGGCATTTTCTTCATTTTGCCGTTGCTGCTGGCGCTTTTTCTTAGTCTGGAACTCATGTGATGACTCATACTTGGGTAAACTAAACCACACAAGAGTAGTGGTGAGTTGAAAAATTATAGTAGAAAATGATTAATTGATGCAAACAACAAAGTTTAAAAGGGAAGGAATGAATGGTATAGGCATTTAATCCTATGAATGAGAGGTCATACCTCTTGGGATCACATGGTAATGGATCAGTCCAGAAATACTCGGCATCAAGTGCATCCTTGGCAGTAATTCTCTATTAAGAAATCAAATTGGCAGTGGTGAATATTAATGTTAAGATGTACTAGTAAAAAATGTTGACATGCAGATCAAGAACTGAGTTTTGGGCATAAAAGCACAAGTCCCTATGCTGAATAATAATATTATCATTGGATGTACTTCATGTTTTAAAAAATACATGCATATTACCTTTCAGTTTTTTAATAACAACATTATGCCATCAATTTTTTTACCATTTTCATCACACATAGCATAAGCCACTCAGAACCACAACAAGATGTATACAGTTATAATAGCTACAAGAAATTTCATAATATCACGATTATATCTTAAAATAGTTTAGAATATCTTATACAATCTCTTATGATTGGTTTTCATATTTCTTTATAGTTCATGATGTTTTTCTTATTTAACTAGGATTAAGAGGATATTATTTAAATAAATAGGGATTCTTACTTTGTCTTAAAATAGTTTAGAATATCTTATACAATCTCTTATGATTGGTTTTCATATTTCTTTATAGTTCATGAAGTTTTTCTTATTTAACTAGGATTAAGAGTATATTATTTAAATAAATAGGGATTCTTACTTTGTCTGTTGTAACAAATCAATCAAATCAAACCAATAACAATCTCAGATTATTCAATCTTTATTCTCTTTTTTCTTCCTTCCCTGCTTATATCCCTATAATTTCAGCATAATATCAAAGTGATAGCATTTTCCATGACTTACCTCCTATGAAGCACCGATACTGACACGGCATTTTCGACAAGTTCCCGACACGCGACGTCGATACGTTACTTCAAAAATAGTAATATTTCAATACGTTCTGATACGTCTTAGTATTAAATAATATTTTTAATATAGAATGTATTTCACATTAACAAAATATAATAAAAGGAAAATCATAAGCATAAATAATAGATTATCCATACTAAATTAATAAATACCTCAACTAGTGTGTGGATGTGGTTTGCTACTAATAACAATTTATCGACAATAATAAAAATATATTTGTTGTGGACAATTAAAAGCTCAAATTAACAGCACAAAATAATAAAAATTAATAAGCTCAAAAATGTACAGAATCACTGAAAAGCCCAAAATAAAAATAAAAATTAACATTAGAAAAATTAATTAAGCAAGAGAATGAAATGACAAAAAAAGAAACGGGAGAGACAAAGGCACGATAAATGGCATGCTGAATATGGACAAGAGACAAAGGCACGAGGAAAGAGAGACCGAGTGAGAGAAAAAAAACACAAACCGGGTGAGAGAGATAGAAGCAGCGTCCAGAAGATGAAAGAAGGAAGAACCGCGTCGTCGAGGAGAGGATGACATGAGTTGGTAGAGACGACAGACGACGAGGAGAGGAAGAAGGCGAACGTGAGTCGGCAGAAGTGAGTCGAAAGACGACAAAGACGATAGAGGAGAGGTAGATGGTAGACGGCAAGGGAAAGGTAGACAGCAGAGACGGAGATGGCAGTCAACAGAGCTCTCAACGATTTCGATTATTGATTTAGGAGGCAGATTTTGATTTCGATTTAGGAGGCAGGCGTTCATGTCATGTAAGTATAAAAGTGAGTCGGATTTGGATTTAGGGTATTTTTTTGGCCAAAATCTTCTCTTCAATTATTTAAATTTCACAAACCTGTCATTCGACCAAATCAAATTTGTTAACCCTGCTGATATGTAAAAATCCGTCTGGGACGCGTATCGGATAAGTAAAAAAAAAAATTGGGATGTATCGGTGCTTCATAGCTTATCTCATCACTATTCCACTACCAGTTCCATAAAATCTGGAGTTCTACTTTATTCCATTATTTCTTTCTTCCATCACATTAGTCGTCTATCTTGCTGTGTTTTTTCATCCGGCATAAACGAGATCTGAATCAGATGAGAGAAAAGGAAGAGAGAGAGAGAGAGAAGAAAGAGATTGTGTATTTCATATTTTGTAATCTGTAATGAACAGTACATGAAGACTTCTTATATAAAGAAACGATACAGCCACGTCACCTAATTCTGTTTGTAACAGCACAGCTGTTACTATTACAATAAAGCTAAGCCACTAAGCCAATTGGCTATTTACAAAAATATCCCTATCCTTATACACTAATATGCCCCCCTCAAACTCAGGGTGGCTGGAAATGAGAGTGAGAATCCACCACCATGAGTTTGTCTCGTAAAACAGCAAAGCGTGAAGCTGAGAGACCTTTGGTGAGAGTGTCAGCAACTTGATCCATTGCAGGAATGTGACAGACCCGTATATCCTTCGCAATAACATGCTCCCTAACAAAAAAGATATCTAACTCCATGTGTTTAGTGCGGGTATGCAGAACAGGATTGTGAGATAAGGAGACAGTGCTCAAGTTATCACAGAGAATGAGAGGAGGACTATGCTGAATCTGAAGCTCAATAAGAAGAGACTTGAGCCAAAGAACTTTAGCTGTAGCTAAAGCAAGGCTCCTATATTCTGCTTCAGTGCTAGAGCGAGCCACCAAAGTCTGTTTCTTAGACCACCATGATACTAGATTGGAACCAAAAAAGACACAGGCTCCTGAAGTGGATCTTCGATCATCCGGATCACTAGCCCAATCTGCATCACAAAAGGCTGTGATGGAAAATAAATGACTAGGATTGCAGGGTTGCATCAACAGGCCATGAGACAAAGTGCCTTTAAGATAGCGTAGGATCCTTTTCACAGCAGCCCAATGAGCTTCAAGTGGCTGAGCCATGAATTGGCAGGCTTTATTGACTGCATAACTGATCTCAGGTCTGATGAGAGTAGCATACTGTAAAGCTCCCACAATGGAACGGTATAGGAAGGGATCTGAAAAATAATCGGACCCAAACTTAGAGAGCTTGCAACCAGATTGGAGTGGAGTAGAGATGCCTTTTGCATCAGCCATATTGGCTTTGAGAAGCAAATCCCTGATGTATTTTGCCTGAGAGAGAATTAAAGCACCAGATGAAGTCTTCTGAACTTCTATGCCAAGAAAGAAATCCAGCTCACCAAGGTCTTTAAGAGCAAAGGAGATGTTCAGCTGCTGAATCAAAGACTGGATGAAACTTGAATTACTCCCAATGATGATTATATCATCAACATAGACTAGAAGAAAAACCACTATGGAAGACTTCCTGTAGATGAATAAGGAAGGATCACATTTGCTAGCCAAGAAACCAAGGTGCAGTAAGGCAGATTTGAGCTTGTCAAACCAGGCCCTTGGTGCTTGCTTTAAGCCATAAAGGGCTTTATGTAACCTGCACACAAGAGATTTATTAGGTGACTCAAATCCAGGAGGCTGTTGCATGTAAACTTCCTCCTCAAGGATGCCATTGAGAAAGACATTATTAACATCTAGTTGCCTGAGTGTCCAGCCAAAAGAAATTGCAACAGTCAGAACAGTTCTAATAGTGATAGGCTTTACAACTGGAGAGAATGTCTCAGAATAATCAAATCCTGCCTGTTGATGAAAGCCTTTGGCAACTAGCCTAGCCTTGTACCTATTAACTGAGCCATCAACATTTTCCTTAACTCGAAAGACCCACTTGCAGCCAATAGCTTTCCTATTAGGAGGAAGAGAGACTAGTGACAAGTGTTGTTTCTTTGAAGAGCATCAAATTCGGACTGCATGGCTGAAAGCCAATTAGGATTGGCCAAGGCCTGTTTGATTGTGCTGGGCTCAACAGAGGTTAAAAGTATTTGAGGCCTACATGTAGTTTTAGACCGAGTGGGGATAGAACGATTAGGTGAGGAAGGAAGGGGACCAGATGGAACATACTCAGAACCAGAACTCAGATGAGAAGAAGAGGAAGTAGAAGGACTAAAAGAAATAGCAATAGGAGAACCTGGACTGGATGTGTTGCTACTGTTGGAAGTAGATGAACTGTGATTGGAGCAGGTAGACGTAAGTGCTGGGAGAGGAGAGTTGTGCACTGGTGCTGAGGTTGGTGTAGAGGAGATACTATTAGGATCCCTTGAAGTGGTGAAGGCTGGACTGTCACTGTTTGAAGGTTGATGTGAGTCAGAATGAGTTGAAGTAAAGGTTGTGGGTGCCACCAGTGGAATTAAATTGGAGACAGAAGAGGTAGGACCAGGGGTAGTGCTAGTGTTTGTGTTTAAGGGAAACTAGGTAGAATAGGGAAATTTAGTTTCATTAAACAGCACATCTGTTGAGATAAAGAGTCTCCCAGAAGAATCAAGGCATTTGTAGCCTTTGTGACTTGGTGAGTAGCCAAGAAAGATGCATTCACTGCTGCGAAATTCAAGTTTATGACTGTTGTAGGGTCTTAGGAAAGGGAAGCAGGCACAGCCAAAAACTTTGAAGGACTTGTAATCAGGGACGGTGTTGTGTAATTTTACAAATGGAATTTCAAAATGTAAGGCAGCAGTGGGTAGAGAATTAATAAGGTAAACGGCAGAAATAAAGGCATGATCCCAAAATTTGATGGGTAAGGATGCATGAGCAAGAAGAGTAAGTCCAGTCTCAACTATATGTCTATGTTTTCTTTCCACCACACCATTTTGATGATGAGTGTGAGGGCAAGCTATCCGATGCATTATACCAAGTTGCTTAAGAAGTTGATTGAAGGAACGAAACTCTCCCCCCAGTCAGTTTGTAGAGCTTTAATAGTGGACTGAAAATGATTTGACACAAGTTTTTGGAACTGAGTGAAGATGGTTAAAGCTTCTGATTTCTGTTTTAGGGGATAAATCCAAGTGTAACGAGAATGAGCATCTACAAACGATATATAGTATGTAAATCCCATTGTGGATTTGACAGGAGCTGGCCCCCAAAGATCACTGAAAACCAAATCAAAGGGTTTAGCATACACTTTGGTTGAGGGAGCTGAATGCAAACGATGGATTTCACCTAAACAGCAGGCAGAACAGAAATCATCATTTGTTTTATTAACAGTAGGAATATTACAAAGTTTGAGAACTAAGTTGAGGGCCTCAGTGTGAGGATGCCCCAATCGACAGTGCCAAAGAGAGTACATATAGTTGGAACCTATAGCTTTTACAGAGCTAGAAGTTGTATTAGTTGTGGACTGTGTGGTTACACTAGTGGGAACAGTATGAGAAAAATCTAGGCTATTGTTTGGTGATGAATTACAAGAAGTAATTGTTGAAACAGAAACAGGAGAATGATGACTCGGTTGCTGACTTGAGTTGGGAGAGAGATGAACTCCTTGAAAGCTATATAGTCCATCTGGTCCTAAAACACCTTCCAACAGGACTTCATGAGATGCCTGAGATTTTACACAACAAGTAAGAGGGTGAAATTCAAAATAAACACCATTATCTCAAGCAAACTGACTCACACTAATCAGATTCTTAGTTATTGAAGGAACAAGAAGAAGATTGTTAAGGTGTAAAGAGGTGTGTGGTTTAAGTGGGGAAGAGAAAGAAGAACAGCCCATAGCATTCACTTTCAAACCTTGGCCATTCCCTATGTAAACCTGATCAGCACCAGAGAGTTGTGTGCTTTGCAACAGGTTTTGAGGATTGGCAGTCACATGCTGAGATGCACCAGAATCTGGATACCACTCAATTGCTTGAACATGTGAAGGAGTGGGAAGAAGACCTTGTCCTTGAGTTGGATTGGCAGTTAGCAATGTTTGAGGTTGAAGAGTGGTTACCAAGGCTTGAGGTTGATGAGGAGCAGTAGGTATAACATACTGATATGGCCTCTGAAACGAAGGCCGTGCTGGTGGAAAGTACTGAGGAACTGCTGGTGGAGAGAGTTCAGGTACAAAGTTCTCATCAAATCTGTACCAGCAGCTCTGAACTCCATGACCAAATTTATAACAAAGCTGGCATTGAACATTGCTATGTCCACGACCTCTAGCTCCTCTGTTGCTTCGAGTATAGGATCTGCCTCTGCCTCTTCCATAATTTGGACCATATGACCTCTGATTATATGCAGTTGGATCCAAATTTGGTTGCACAACATTTAGAGGAGACCTTACAGGTGCTAAAACAGATCTGTTTGCTTCTTTTGAATCAGGAGAGACCTTGTGCACAACATTCACAGTCATTGAATCAGAAAGAAGAGCTTCACTTTGTCGTGCAAGCATCATTTCATGAGACATCAGTTCAACTCGAAGATCATTGAGTGAATAAGGATTCTCACGTGCTCTGACTGAGGTGACAAAGGCATTGAACTCAGCAGGAAGACCAGCAAGTATCAGTTCAGTTTGTTCATCAACTGGAATTGCACTTTTAATTGCTTTTAGTTCATCACACAGAGACTTGATGCGTTTGAGGTACTCAGCAACAGATCTTCCACCTTTCTTGATGGTACGAAGCTCAGATCTGAGCTGGTGAGCTCTTGACTTCATCATTCCTTCAAAGAACTTATGGATCTGATCCCAAGCTTCATATGCATGGCTAACTCCAGGATTTCATTCAGAAATTCTTCTGAAATAGTGGAAAGAATCCATGAGAGAAGCATCTGATCTTGACGAAGCCACTCAGTATACAGATGATTGATGACTCCGTCAACATGATCTTGCTCCGAATCAAACTGACGAAGCCACTCAGTATACAGATTTGTTTTCATATTTTCTTATATTTCATGATTTATTTCTGCATTTGTCTTTTGTAATACATCCTTCATATCAATCCAATAACAATTTTAGATTGTTAAGATTTTATACTCTTTTCTTCCTTCTCTACCTAAGTCCCTATAATTTCAACATATACCATTTTTATCTTAAGCAATTTGTCAATTGCAAGATACATGACATTATTAAAGAACAATAGTAGATTCAAACATACAATTAACTTTATCAAATTAAAAAAGGTTGAATAATGTATATAAATTGGAATACCGCGTATCTGAAATACATAAAATAGTAATTCAACATTTACTTAGCAATTAATAGATCTGACCCACAAGTGATCAAACGATACCTGAGCAGGATCAAGTGTCAGCATTTTCTCCAACAATTCCAGAGCATGACGATCAAAACTATAACAAGTGACAAGAACAAAAGCTATTCTGATTATACAGATAAAAAAAAAAAAAAAAAAGAGTATGCATAATGCATTTACTTTTTTTTCTTGGGTAAAATAAAATATATAATTACTGAAGCTCATACTAAGATACTTACTGTCTGAAAGCTTCCCTCAGACGTCTTTTCATTGGTCTTGTTGGCTTAAATTGATTATACCAAGGAATCTTAGAAACACCAGGCCAATTCACCTCATCTGGTGCTCCACACATCTCAAAAATCTTATTTATTTGTTCTGGCTACAATAATTTGAAAAAAATAAAAATTACCTTTAAGCTATACTAAAAACAACTACCATGAAGATATACACCATAGGCCATACATAGTAAAAGTAAGAAATGGAATGAATGTAAGAACATATGTAACTAAATTTCTGAAAAGTATTGAGCAGGTTAGATCCAGCAATCAACCCAGACATCTAGCCCTAGTGAGTAATATATAAAAACCACTTTAAGTATAATGCAAACAACAGAAACACATATACATCATTGATCTTCAAAATAAAATGAACATTTTCAGATATAATATACAAACATTATTTAGATTGGCACCAAAACTCTTAAGCCATTTTGAAGAAAACAGAAAGGCTATGTAAGTAATATGAAAGAATCTCTTTTTCCAACCATTAATGCATACCTACACTTAGTACTGACAATATACTGGACAAAATCATAGCTGTCTAATAAACAATTTCACAACAATCATGCACAACTTTGCCCCTAATATAAGCAAGGATTATATATAGAGTATCACTAACCTCATCTTTTCCAGGAAAGATAGGCTTCCCATGAAGAAGCTCGGCAAAAATGCACCCAACAGACCACATATCTACTGCAGGCCCATACTTTGTTGTCCCTAGCAGCAACTCAGGGGGTCTGAATATATAATCAAATAAATCAACAGGTGTACAGGGCCAAATTCATAACACCTCCTGATTGAACTTAGCCAAAACTAAAACACAACTCCAGTGCATTATATCCGCAACATTAATTACCTGTACCATAATGTGATGACACGATTTGTAAGATTTGCATTGTGCTCAGTAGAAAATGATCGTGCCAGTCCAAAATCAGCAAGCTTCAGATTGCCTTCATTATCTATAAGAAGGTTTGATCCTGCAGCAGAACAAAATACATGAAATAGGAGAAATAGATCTGACAAGATCTAATACCAAAATCTTGCACATGTAAAACTTTGGAAGCAAAAGAGCACCTTTGATATCACGATGAAGTACATGATTTACATGACAATAGTAAAGCCCCGTCAAAAGCTGTTTCATGTAACACTTCGGAAGGAAAAAAACAACTCAGGCAGCAGTAAAACGAACAACTATTAATATATGAATTGACACTTATATTAACAGTAATACCTTAATTTGGGGAACTGTAAATCTCATCCCAGGTCGGTCAGCAAGACCAGTTAAATCATGGTCCATGTATTCAAAGACCATATAGATGCCACCTTTATATTTGCTACCATCTGTGCAATCCCAAAATAAAAATAAAAACAAAAACAAAAAGATGAAATCGAAAATTATGGAAATATGGGAATCCAGAGGGAGGTGATGAATACATTCGTACAGTCAAAACAATAAAGCATATCATATGATACACTCTAATTGATAATGAAATAATTGACTAATATTATGAGAATGAATAACTTGCCTGACCTCCCTTGTTCATCCTTCTCGGGGCCTGTCAAAAGAAACCCAAAACGTTAGAAATTAATAAAACATTCTATTTGAAGTTTATATCATTTTGATAACAAAACACATTTTGATCATTGAAAAATGTACCTGGAGAAGTCACAATTTCTTTCAACTTGATCACATTTTCATGGTGTAGTTTCTTTAGAATTTTGATTTCACGTATAGCAGTTATAGGAAACTGCAATGACATAATTTACAGTACAATTCAGAGGAGAAATTCATATTACAGAAACAGTAAAAGATTGCTACTGCAAGTTTGGATTCAGTCCACTGAATTGCACAAACAATCAGAAGTTTGAAAATGCAACAAAGAACACACCATGATGTTATGCATCCAAAAAAAAATAAGGGATTGCTTTTTCTTATGTCATTGGAGACAAGACTATCTCCTATAGAGACATCTTCAAGTGGGTCCTACACTATAACAAAAAGAAAAAAAAAAAAAAATTGATGGCTCAAATTTCGAAGGGTTTATGGCATGAGGTAAGCTCTCTCCAATGACACAAGAAAAACATTACCCATATAATAATTAATGAAACATTTAGCAGCAAGGTGATCAAAGATATACCCCTTCTCTCTCATTGTCCATTCGTATTTTCTTCAGAGCAACAATTTCACCAGTTTTGATCTCTCTAGCCATGTAAACCTGACTGCAAGCATAATGAAAAATATATTAATTAATATTCATCAAATATTATAATAATTTAAATTTTCTCTTTTTTGTCATTATATCTTTTTTATAAAATTAAGAAGAAAAAATTAGGAAAAAAAGAAAGTGGATGAAAGAGATTGTAAAAACACAATAAAACAACCTAATTTCATTAAAAATGACATAATTTGTGTAATTTAAAATGATAAACATTTTTTCCAAATAAAAAAAAAAAAAATTTGTTTTCTATTACATATAATATATAATTCCTTTATTCACTTACATACCTAATGCTTAAATTGTATACACAAACTAATTTCCAAGTCAATCCCTCCCAAAATAAATAACAAATTAAATCACGATAACATAAACCATAAAGAAATAAACAAAATCGGAGCAGAAATGGAAAAATTAAATCTATGAACGGCAATACAATGTAAAGGAACAAAACTGAGGAAGAATCAAGAACAAGCGATAACGTTCTGAGAATAAAAAAATAAAAATAAAAAAAACAGACCCATATGTGCCCTCGCCAATTTGCTCCAACTTCTCGAAGCAATCAACGCTTCTTGATCCCCACGAAGGGTATTCATTCACATTGAGTTGGCCCGGTGCTGCCAAAGCCATCCTTCAAACTTCTGATAGAGAAGGAGAAAGAGATGAAGCCGAAATTTCACAAATTGCAACAAAGACTGAAATGAAAGAAAACACCAAATAAATAAATAAAGGAAAAATATATATATCGAATAAAGAGAAAGGAGAAAATGGAAAGCGAGGAGCGAGTGATTTTCACGGTACCCAAAAGGATTGATGATGGTGATGATAATCTGAGAGTGGAAAGTGTGGGAAGTGAAGCCTAGGGTTTATAAACCCACTCTGTTTTTTTTCACCAATCCGAGTCACTCGGTTGGCACGTGTCGCGTACCTTTTATTTTCCTTGGAAATATGACATGCTCACGTGAAAATTCACAATCAAGATAAATTAATTATAATTATTTATTTAAAAAAAAAAATCTCTCTTTTTTAACTACTATTGATCTATCTATCTTTCTAGGGAATGGATCCAATTACCACCAAAAAAGTTTACAACATTTACAACCAACGTAATCACCGTTGATTTCCGTCAATCTAATATCATTTATTAGAAATTATTTGGTCGCATTTATTAATTAATTATTAATTCTAATAAATGATAACCGTTAGATTGACGGAAATCAACGGTGATTACGTTGGTTGTAAAGGTTGTAAACTTTTTTGGTGGTAAGTGGATCTGTTCCCCTATAGTTAAGATTTTCCATTTAAGGGAAAATTCACCAATGCCCACGTGGTTTGCTTCAGAATCACCTATGCTCCTGTTATTTTTTTTATCACATATGTTCCTGTGATTTGTAAAAGAGTATGTTTTTTATCACATATACCCCTGCGATTTTTTATTTTTTACAAAGCACAGAGATATATGTGATAAAAAAAATCTCAGCGGCATAGGTGATTCTGAAGCAAACCACAAGGGTAATGGTGAAGTTTTCCCTTCATTTAATTATATCATTTTTTTTCTTGGTAATTATGTCATATTTTTTTAATATGAAAGAATACACTCCCAATTCTCGTCTCTCCTCCTTTAGTATTGGAAAAAATTAAGAAATCTTCTCATATTTTTGTTTTGAACTACTTATACAATTATATTTTTTATTAATCATTCATTTCATATGCTTTTTTTATCTAAATTCATTCTTAAAATTGTTAGAAATTAAATTAAACTGCTTATTTTATCCTTCTTAAAAAAAAAAATAGAAACAAGTTTAGATATGTTGGAAAATTATAACACTAATAAAAAAGACAAAAAAACCAAAAACAAAATATGCCTAAATAAAAAAAATAGATTATGATGACAAAAAAAAGTATAAATATGTTGAAAACTTACAACAGTAAGCAAAAAGAATAAAAATAAAAAATAAAACTTGTTCAATCTAGTGGATAAATATGTCTAATCAGATACTAATGGATTTATCTTTGATCTAAAGGCTATCTCTCATGTATCTATGAAAGAGATACCTTTGAGGGTAGTAGATCATTGTGCACTAGGAATAACGTTGTTGCCAAGGGAGTGATGTGTGCAAATGACACCGTAACAAAAAAAAAAGTGTCATACTCGTAGCTTTACATCTTCTTTATAAAGTTTATGTCTAGATAGTAAAATTCTGGACCTTTAGTGACATTTTTGGGGCCCAAATTCATATCAATAATTGTTGTGTATTAAGATTAGTGACAATCAAATATTCTTTCCTTTACTTCCATTAAGGCGTCTTTGGGAGTCAATATTAGAAAGGAAGAGGAAGATGAAGGTTTTGCTTATACATTCCCGAGGATGGTTATACTTACTACTTCAAAATTTTACAACTCTTACTAATAAACTAATCATCTTTGATTTTCGTCAATCTAACAGTTATAATTTATTGGGTACACTTATTAATAAATTCTAATCGTTAGATTGACGAAAATCAACAGTGATTAGTTTAATAGTAAGAGTTGCAAAAAATTTCAGTAGTAAGTATAATCTCTTCCTACATTCCCATTATTTGTGAGTTTTAAAAATTAGGATAAAGGGATTGAAAAAATTTGTACAACCCTGTAAAACTCTTCTCATACTTGAAATTAAAATTTTCCCAATTTGGGGTTTGAGTGCAAAAGTATAATAAACCACTTATATACTCCTCTGAGAGGTTTTTTTAAATAGGTTTTTTTTAAAGTCTAAGTCTGTTCTATTTTACTATTTATAATAGGCCAAGTCTGGCCTAATATAGGTTAGGTCGTAGGCTTATGTAGGTTAGCCTAACTCATGTACACCCCTACTCCTCTCAAATTAAAACAATAATTTATTTTTCCGATCCAATCCAATATTTAGTTGTCGATGGCTGCTCTCTTCAATCACTGCCACATACTCCTAGCGGTGGATGGCGTCGACAGCCACTCTCTAGCAGAGTACATTCCTAACAACCACTGTGAGAAGAACCAGTGAGTCGTCGAAAAAAATGGCCACCAACATCGCCTTACTCAGCCGCGCACTTTCAGGAAAGATATCGGCCATGTCGCCTTAGAGACCTACTCAATTACACGTCTCGCCTTCACACTTCGTCGATATCTCTGATTCGAACTTTGGTTAATATCTCTTTGATTTTTCATTTAATTTTTTCTGTAAATTATAGTTTGTTCCTGTTATGGACCTACATAAGGCTCATATATCTAAAGGCCCAACAAAGAGCAATTACATGATAGTTGTACAAGAGGACAATTGAGCTTGCGAATAAAAGGCCCAAAACTCATATATCCACAGGTAAAACTCTAAAAATAGGAGGCAAAGCCTATATAGGTATGACCTAATCTCTCTCTTACTATTACGTTGTCACAGTGAACACACACCACCTCATTGGCTTACGTCGTTATTAGTTGTGTACAATGACCTTCCTTCTCTAGAGATCTACTTCATAGATACCTTAAAGAGAGAGTCCGGTAATATATTAATCTACTAGCCTTGGGCTAGACATCTCTTTCATACAGACAGAACATTGGTGCCGATTGTGGGGACCATAAATTTCTATTCCCGCGATTACCATGGCAATCAAGAGAAGTGGTTATCAGCAGCCACCTTCGTCGCATCTTGGGTTGCCACAAGACGTAGTGATGGAGGAAATACTGAGGAATGAAGTTAATCATAATAATCAACAGGTGGTTGACTATAATGTTGTTCGTGTGAGTGATGTACATTCTGACTCGGCATTGACTCTGGCGGTGAACTATCTACCAATCCGAGGTGTAGACGCTCGAGAAGTGCAGCCAGATGCGTTGCAAGTACCACCTGAGACAAATGTGGATCAGCGCATTGCTCACAGCGCGATCAATGCCCTGCTATAAAGGATCAAAGAAACGAATAAGCGTAACCAGTTTCATCGGCAGGAAAAGGCCCAAATCCGACAGGAAGATCCCCAGAGGATCCGAGACCTAGAAACAAGATTGCTCCAGGCAAGAAATTCGGATCCAAATCACGCAACAGCTCAGATCCTGGGTAATTTGCAGAGAGCAGAATCTCCCAGTAGGGTACATGAGCTAACCTAGGAGCGCGGTAGAAATGACCGTGATGGAGGAAGAAACCTTGATGAAGGAAATAGAGCTCGGGAAGAACGTATTTACCGAGATGATAGAGTTGACCAAAAAAGAACACCAGATAAGCACAACCGAGGTAGGCACCTCGGTAGAGAATATGGAAGGGATAACTTTAATAGGCCCATCTGAGATAATGCTAGCAGAGAAAATGCCCACTGAGATAGTAGAATTGGTAGAAGTAGGAGAGCCGAGTATGATCAGCCTGAAATAATGGTGGAAAGAGATCAAAATCTGATCTCTAGGAGTCAAGATGTCACTGGTATTCATAGGAGAAATATCGAAAGGGATAATATAACAATTGTCCCTTCGTAGACGAGATCGTTGACGCACCTTTCCCGGATAACCTTAACTTGGTAGAGTTGCCAAAATACGATGGAAGTCAGAACCCTCAGGTCCACCTTGATGTCTTTGATATGGCAATATATATCAAAGGAATCGATAAGCCATTGATTATAAGGTTTTTCACAACAACTTTGACGGGAGTCGTACAGACGTGGTTCTCAAACTGCCAGCCAACCTCAAACAGGGCACCAAACATACCCTACCATTTCTACGATTCTGAACAAACTACTACACCAATTCCTCTAAAAATTTTATAAAGTATACTAGACACCTTAAGATTAAATTTGACATATCATAGGCCTAATTTTACCAAGAATTAAGGGAGAAATAAATTTTCCAAAACTACCACCCGACAGCCCCCATGTGCAGGGCATTCTGGATAGTCCTCACTCAAACGCCGCTACTGGTCTGCGCACAACTCCAATGGCTACCAATTTTTGACACGACATAGTTGACATCTCAATCTTCAAAATGATGTATGGCAAGTCTATATTGGACATTTGTAGAGGGAGATATGCTCTCTCAAAGTTAGCCTAAAAACTGTCATTTTATATAAATTTCGACGGCACCTCCTTTGTTTATTCAACCTATCCCACTTTTTATTAAAAGTGTGTTATTATCATCAAATGGTACCTGATAGACAAGGGTGGCACTCAAGGACCAACAATGCCTTGGTGCTCTTACAACCCACAAAATTTATATCATTTACCTCAATTTACAATTCATTACTTACTTTGTCAAAACTTAAATAATTTCAATCACATTAATCCATTTGCATGCATTCTTTCAACATACACATAATCATCATCTAAAATAGGCATATTGCCCTTTCATCACATACATGCTTTAAATATTACACAAGATCCATGATTCATAATTTACAATCTTCCAAATGATAAATAATACAATTAAATCCTCCAAAGTACAACATAATAAATCAACAACTAGACTTAGACAAAATATGACATGAACAAATATAACAAGATGTATAATCCTAAAGCAATATGCAATGTTCATGCCCTAAGTCCAGCCTATGCCAAAAGTGACCTCAAAATGCAAAAAGTCCTCTAATCTCCAAGTGCTCATCCTATGGGCCTCTTGCCCACAGCTCTGGTCCCGGTACAACCACATGAAATAATGCCCCAAACACGGGGTGAGATATACAAATATATCTCAGTAACCCAGAGGTTTTGGAGATTACTCCGCCCAATGGCTCACTCAGATGTAAAATCAACAATGCATCATAACAATGTAAGAGGGATAAAGCAAGAGATTTAGTGAAGTATGGATGCATAGGGAGTAAACATACGATGCAGCTGGAATGGTCAAAGCCAAAACCACACAACATCCGGCCTATTAGCCTCGGCATATAGCCTATGGGCTCTCATCCAAGGAAGTGTTCTCAGAACTTCAACCAAGGCACCCACCACCAATACACCCGAGACATTCCTAGAGTGCTCCTCAACGGATAACAACTCCATAACCCCAGGTCAACTAGAACTCCCTCACGGAGACCTATCCAGTGGAAGTCCGTAACATCCGAAGGCAACTATCTACTGGCCAGAGATACGGTACATCCTATGTACCCTATATATATAAATGCATGAGTATGTTACAACTACATTCTTGACATACAACCTCCAACCACTACCCCCAAGGGACATGGTTGAGCACACATGGAGATTAACCCCAGTACCAAAGGATAACCTTGTTGAAACTCTCTCTCTAGGTAACTCCAATGAAGGTACAACCGAGCTTGGTCCAACCAAAAATGCCTACACACAGGTCATTCCCATATCAATTAGAACCACATAAAACCATACACTTGGCTATTCAAGTATTCATGCAAATTGTCATAAACACCTACCACAATTCTTTTAGTCAAGGACCAAAGGCAATCAACCAAGCTCATTGTTCAAAGCTCACGTCCGTGGGAGGCAACCTACAATGACCACACAAGGATCATCAATACAATTGTAACTCAAGTTGAATTTGAAAGCAAACATTTCCCAATCCCATATACATAAGTTCGGTCATTTGGCCTCAAAATACCTAACCATGTTGTTAATTTTATTACAATGTCTTAATGGTTTCCTAAGCTCACCACAACACCAATTCAAGTCCTCAACTTCATTGAATTACCACTCAACCTCAACTTTCCCAATCTTTTTTTCTTTTAGGTCAAAAATTCAACACTTTGGAACATCCAATGGTTTCACTTCCAATCCACATGCGTCACACCAACACACAACCTATTTAAACTTATCTCACAACCATACAACACCAATTACATGGTTTTTGAATCATCCATCCTTATTTCTCCTTGAATTGCCGAATTGTTCATGGATGCATACCCAAGGATTTTCAATTCAATTCAACACTTTCACACATCATACAATCCTATAATTAACTCATACAATTACTCAACAACTCAATTATACAATCCCACAACAATTCCATTTCACAAAATCTTGCATACCCATCAAAATTTTGCCTAAGTTCTCAAACTTTTCATCAATAATTTTTGTGACTACAAGCTTCTTCCAAAGCCTCCAAGCACAAACCGTCTCTATCATTTTTAAAACTTCCATTGCAAATCTTTACCAAAAATTCTAAGATTTTACTATGTTAAATTAGATATCACAAGCTTTCCAACGACATATTTTATGTCTCAATCGGATTTGTATAACTCCAGTTATGTTTTTCGTAAGTTAACGGAATTTTCCACAGTAAGGAAGCAACTTAAAACTCAAATCGTGATCAATCCACTTGTCCAATGGATCTGAAATTTTGTAGGATTGTATCCCTATATGTTAGCTTCATATAGGTCCAAACCTCATTCAATTTGGAGCTCTGTAACTCAAGATATTGCGATTTTACCAAACTAGTGTGTTGCTGTCACATTTGCACTAGGCAATCGATTACCATATAGAGGGTGATCGATTACCCTTCATGGTAATCAATTACCACTCTAAGGTAATCGATTACCACCTGTGCAGAACGCGAAATTTTTCTGCATAATTCGAGCTCCAATGGCCTCCCAAGGTTTCCACCTTCGATTTACCCACAAACAGAAGTTCAAACTACCATATTACATTGAAGTTAACAACTTTTTACTTGAATCATCAAAGTTTCCCTTTTTAAAAGACTCAAAACAAGCTTTGTTCATGAATTTACAAAGGAAATGGTGAAGGGTTACCTAAGGGCCTTTGAAAACAGAAAAATAAGATAACTTTGAGTGCTTTGAAGATGCTCCAAGCTACTGACTTGGTGGTGCACGAAAATCACATTCAAAGGTAGGTCTTTTCTTCACAAAAATTGGTTCTTGAAGCTTCCAAGAGTGTAAATATTGGCTCCCACACCCTAAGCCCAAGTGGACAGCCCCACAACACCCCCAAAATAGAACCTTGAATTCCCCAAGAATGGATTTTTCTTTCACTAATCACAAGCTCTCAAGGGTTTAGAGGATTAAGAAGAAGAATGAAGCATAAAAGTGTGTTCTTTGTGAACTTCCATGGAGAAAGGCACAATCTTTCTTGAGAGTGGTGGAGAGAATGTTCAAGGTTTGAGAAAAAAAAGGGCTGCACAGATTTTCTGATATAACCTAGGGTTTTATGCCCTTTAGCTATTTATATAATTGTGCCCACTAATCAATAATATTAGTTCTAATAGCTCTGCTAATTATTTTTCTATCAAATTTTATATTCTTAACCTAGATATTTTTCTAGAAATTATCATATTTTTATTATAATTTTTCGAGACACTTCATCCGTACGCGTTTTATACTGCAAAATAGCCGGTATTAGTTTTGACATCACTGCTTATTATTTTTATCCCAAATTTGATATTCTTGACCTAGATATTTTTCTAGGAATAATTATATTTTTATTATAATTTTTTGAAATACTTCACAGGTACACATTTATACCGCGAAGCAAAATTGGTATCTGCACTTTTCTCAGAAAAGCGATTTAAGCATTATTTGACCTTCTCGATAATTATTCTAATCTTTCTATATTTATCCAAAGTCAATTGTAGAGTTATTTCCTAAACTCATAATTAAATTATTTAAATTTCTAATTTAGTGGTGCAGGTTCTTACTCAACACACCAAAAATGAGGACTCAAAGTCAAAAAATAAATAATGAGACTGGTTCAAATACATATGTATAAATTTGAAAATCACAAGGACAGGTAAAGTTGAGTGATAATAATGTCTAATGCAATCATTAACCTTAAACTCAATTCAAACCGTCTTATGTTCATAGACCCCTTTATTTCCTAAACCCCAAGTCAACATGTTATTACATATGGAAAGGGCACAAGCGAGGAAGCTCAGATTAATACAAATATTCAAATTCAGAAGCAAAAATGTGATGATTATTAATAACGTCACAAAGAAAAACACATGATGGATCGCATGACAGTCTTTAAAGTTTATACAACCATTCATAAAATCTTGATGACCATCAATTGTTTCTCAAACATAATGCACTGTTTTCTTGTCCATGCGGTCTGCACATAAGAAGGGGATCATATCAAGCACATTTTTTTTTTTTATCTCATTCACATGTTTAAAATTGAAGAGCAAATATATCCCTCTATCAAAGAGATGGAGGGTCACACCTAAACTATTCACAAAACGAAATTCACACTTTATTGAACACAACCATCCAAAGAGTGATTCCTCATTTTTTATTTTTTTGTCAAACATATAGTGTACACATTACAAGAAATTGGACGTTTAGCCATGTTTATTTAACCACACTTACTGATATGATGTGACGGAAAAGTAAAATCCCAAATTTACAATAAACGTAGTGAAATTATTTATTTTACTTTTTCTAAATTATAAAAAATCCGATCTAGCTTCACATTTTATCCTTAACTAGGATATGACCCATGCCTTCGCACGGGATGGTGATTAGTAAAAAATATAAAATAAAATAAAATAAAATAATAAAATTGATATTTTTTGGAAAGCAAAAATAATAGACATGCATTGTACATTAAGAAGCATGGCAAGCAAAAAGAAAATAGAGTAGAACAACCAACATTGTGGATTAATATTCAACAATGTGCATCCATAATTTTTCAAGTTTTATATTTAACCTGTCATTAAGAAACAAATACAAATCATTTCACAGTGATAATAACAAATCTTTAGATTATAATAAACACAGACAAAAAGATAAAATAATTACAAATAGTAAGAAAATAAAAACTTACATGTTCAAATGAGTAATAGATAATAAGGTCACAATGCTCTCAAATATATCAGGAACAACAATTGAGAATTCTCCAAAACTTCAAACATCACTGTGATGCATAATTAAATCTCCTAAATTAAACTCGGCCTCATGTTGAGTTATAAATAGCCCTGACAGATATTGTGTCTCCATTCTATGCACATCATTATGAACAACAAAGTTTTCTCTGCCAAAACATAACCATTGATTAACGTAAGCAGGTATGATCTATAGTGAGGAATTTCAATAATATTTAAAAGAGATAAAACTTAAGTGGTACAGATATAAGTAGCTACCTCAAACATGGTCAGATCTCGTGCAGTAGTAATGTATAATAGTTTTACAAATAAGACACACTAATTTATGTCAACCTTTGGAAAATTTCTTGGAATACAATATTTGTTGTATTATTTGCAACTGAGTCATGATCGTCAAGTATGAGAAGCTTTAATCCCTTCTTACTTTTCACCCTGGAGAGAGCCACATACAATTGGCCATGAGTAAAAACTGGTCTTGGAAGATAAATTCCTACATGAGATAAAGTTTGACCTTGACTCTTGTTTATTGTCATGGCAAAGGAAACAACCAATGGAAATTGCCTGCGTTCAAACTTTATAGGGAATGTGTTATTCGAAGGACTCAAATTCATCCTTGGAATCAACACCATCTCACCTATGTTATTTCCTGAAACCACTTTTCCGTCAATAACATGTTAAGCAAGTTTTGTAGTAATCAATCTTGTCCCATTGCACAAGCCTCTTGATTGATCTATGTTTCTCAGAAGCATAACTGGTACTCCTTTCTTGAGTGTCAATTTATGGTTAGGAAGTCCAGTTCCAGAGAAAGTGTTAAGTATTTATGGAGGAAATGCTTCTTCCTCAACATTATTATTCCCTTCCGCTTTACAAATACTATCTAAACTAAGGTATACCTTCTCTTCTTCTGGAATTTTTGACATTAAGTACTCATTTAACATGGAGACATCCGCTAATGTTGGTGTTAAGATTGCCCGTTCTTGGAAGAAAGATGCATTAAGCATATTTTTCAAAAGATTTGGATAGGCAAATTCTACTAAAGCAGAGATTGGATCATTGCAATCATTGATCAAGATTTCATCTGGGATTTTTATTGTAGAGTATCCATCAACATTGTCACCAACTTTGCCATCTCCAACATCAAGAAGCCATTCAGAAAACATTTTAATCTCCATGACATCATTATTAGAACCTTGTGAATACAGCCGCATGTTTTTAGTCAATGTCAACATTTGACAATAATGCCATAGATGTGAAGAATTTATTGTTGCATGTACAATTTCTTGCCTTCCACCGTGAGGAATAACGGACAAGATCTGTCTGAAATCACCTCCTAGAACAACGACTTTCCCACCAAACGACGTTTCAAAACTTTTTTGATTTGAAAAACGGAGAATGTCTCTTAGTGTTCTATCCAAAGCTTCGAAACAGAATTTATGAACCATAGGTGCTTCATCCCAAATGATTAATTTAGCTCTTGACAGTAACTCAGCCTGAGGCGAATTCTGCTTAATGTTGCAGATGGAATCTTCACTGATGTCAATAGGTATGCACATCCTAGAATGAGCAGTTCTCCCTCCAGGTAATAATAATGACGCAATTCCGCTTGAAGCAACATTAAGAACAATCTCTCCTATTGATCTGAAAGCAGCAGATAATGTTTTCCATATAAAAATCTTTCCCGTGCCTCCAAAACCATATAGAAAAAAGAATCCACCTTTATTTGCAGATGTTGCTTCCATGATTCTGTGGTACACATTGCGCTGCTCTTCTGTTAGGCTTGCAAGTAAATGTTGATGCTCTTTTGCCAATAAACTTCTATCATAAGATAACTCATCAAGTATCAACTTATTAGTTACATGAAGTACAGATTCACCAGTGGGACATGGCATTGTAGGATAATTACACAGACTTTTCCCATTACTCTGTAAGCAACTTTCAATTTCAGCAAGAGAAACATTTTTAATCTGTTCATCGGTCATTACCAAATCTGCATATCATCATGAGTAAATAAAAAATAATGGAAAATTTCGGAATCAAGATATTCATATACGGAATTTTGATATTTTCAAATAACAAAGGATGAATAATTTAAACATACCTTGGCGGTTCATGTTCTTTCGTTGCTGATATAAGATATCATCGGATAATAATTTCCAACATTGTTCCCATACATATTTAGGTCTACTCATATTGTTGCAAAACAACAGCAAAGCAAATAGTCTTCTTATATAATGTCCGGATGCCCAAAAGCTTGCTTCTTTAATTGCATCAATGTATTCTTTGTCATCGTCCAAGAAACCTAAGGAATAGCAAGCTTCTTTGAATGTAGGAAAAATGACACCACTAACAATTCTCAAATCTTCATAATTTTTACAACCTTTTTGAGTATTCAACAACATTCTTAGGTAGTAATCATCTCTATTCTTTGGCGGAACATGAGTTAATCTTCCAATAGAAAATCCTCTTTTTCTAGGATGCCATTCATGGTTGTTTTCTTGGTAGACAAATTTGGTTGGAAATTCTGGATATGTTAAACCTCTGCCTTCATCATACTTATTGTTAGCCTCCATCCATGCTTCAAACATTGATTTTTTCTCCATAGCATTTGTCATAACCTCAGAAATTGAGCTATCATCTTTAAAGACAACAAATTTTTGATCAGGAAGGTGGAATGACAGCCTTTGTACTAGAGGATATCTAGAATGAATCTCAAAGCCAAGGATTCTCCAAACCGCTTCACATGAAGAAATATATCTACATTAAGAATAGTTAGAACACAGAGTGAATTATTTAGTAATTAAAACATTGTTGCATACAAAGTTAGATGAAGTGACGATGTAATAGTTTGCTCATACCTACAGTCATAAAACATTTTGATTTCATCTGTAGATGACGTTGTTTGACTGTTTGTAGGAGAATGGTGAAAAGTTGCTGTAACTCGGTCGTTGCCCTTGTGAATGTACTTGAATAGATATTTTATAGCTATACTCTGGCAAGTATATTCTACATTCATATGAGCTTGATACTTCAAAAGCAATTTGGCATTATATGGGACAACATACCGACTATCGAGATGTACTCCTTTTTTGTTTACTGTTATACCATCATATCTCCTTTTGTAATGAGGAAAACCTTCTTCATCAATTGTAGTTCCAGGTAAGAATTTTTTGGGGAAACGTTTGGTACACTTCCCACCATGCATGCAAGTGGATTTCAGGTTTGCCACACCATATGGACCATGTATCATAAAATTGTTAACAACTTCATGAAGTGCAGGATTATCATTTGGATTTGGAATTTCCGTAGAGATAAGGGAATCAATGTCACTTGCAGTAGATGGTTTATCATGCGGATGTAGAAATAGAAGAATGTGGGCATGAGGCAGTCCTCGTTTTTGAAATTCTACAGTACAAACATCTAACACAAATGTTCCCTTATGCTTACAGTAGTCCTAGTCCTCTTATTTGAATGCTCGGAAGATTTGAAATTAACATCTTCTCTATACCCATCTTCACCATACGAAAACAACAATGGATATTGCAGTGCGAGATACAAAGGATGCTTCACATCTATTCGTTTCAATGTTCCAGATTGAGTTTCTAATATTATGTCTCTATCACCAATAGAACTATCAATGTCTCCAACTACCAAAGCAGCAATTTCTGATGCAGTTGGAAGATTATAAGTTCTGCCATCCTTATCCCTCTTTCGAATTAGCCTCATTTTTAGTCCATTAAAATCTCCTTTTTTGTAACGATCTCTTGCACAACGAAATGATTGTGCAATAACGTTGTTGTCATCCACCATTTTTTGCAATGAAGAAACAATTTCTGTATCTAAATTTTCAGCTTTATCACAGTTCCTACAAAAATTAGAATAAAATTTATTCACAGTCTTGATCAAAAGGAAACCAATATGTAGATGTAAGAACATACCTTAGACAATTCATCCTATTACCCATTTCGTTGTCAGTGTCATATATGTATAGTTGAGCAAACTTTGGTGTAGTATTGTCCACTGGAAGAAGACTTCCCACTAAGTGATGTACTTGTCCACCAACTTTGAAAACATAAGGAGTACTTCCATTGTTAACAGAACGATCAACCTTGCCTCCGAAGGAAGTGAATGAGAAAATCATGTTGTAAGCTCTAATATTACGTAAGAAATGCTTGCTTCTCTCATCAACATTATTATGAAGTTGTACCAAAGTGTCTGGTGCTGTTTTTAGTAGAGGAAGATCGACTTTGCCGTTCATGCAACATAGGCTAAACTCTGGATTTTGAGTTTGTCTATTTTTTCTATTTCTTTTGGCGTACCACAACAATGCTCCACAGTGCACACAAGAGAAAGCGACATCACCAATATCTGAATAATCTAAAAACAATGAATAAATATTTAGTGTTGCACAATTCAAACAAATTTCCAACAATTAAAGATTATTATGTTTCATATAATGTAGTCTTGGAATAATAAATTATTTGAATATAGTGATATTAATAAAGAAATATGACATGTCTATAAGTTATGCAAGAAATAAAGTAGCATGTAAGTGTTTCTAACCATTGCTAATAGGAGGACTGTGGTTGACTTTATCGACTTCAACCGAAGCATTATTAAAGCTTGATTCAAGTGAGCGAATAGTTCCCAATAGCTTGGAACTATTAACCGTACTCATGGTAGGGCTACAATAAATAAAAAAAATAATGTTAGCAAAATTGTCTTAAAAAAATACAAAATTCATAGGTACAAAAGATAGAATACATTGTATCTGATGTAGGAGTAGATAAATTGGTTATACTGTTTTCGATAATTCTATCATCGAACACATTGGTTGGCGCCTCGCAATTATCACCTTGTACGAAAACCAAAACAATTAGTGCACGTTTAATGCAATATTAATAATGTAAATACTTCATATTGGATTAAAAAAATGAAGCATACCTAGTTGGGTACGACAACTACTGTTCATAGAAGCATTTTTCTGCAAGACATTTTGTGTCAACTTCGCAGATCGCTTTTCTAAGATTAAAGTCCTCCTTAACAGTCTTGCATCTTTTTTTTGACTTGAGGAATGAGCTTGCATAATTTCATGAAAGTTCTCAAAAATAATCATACTTGTTTCGAAAATCACAATACAACCAAATCTCAAAAAAGTCAATTTGATAAAAGAAATAATACCATTTGTTATGTTGGTAAGTCCTGAAGACATTGTAGATGGTGTAAGTTCACTGCTTTTGATATAGGCACCATGTTCATAGAAGCATTTCCATGAAAGACATTTTGTGTCAACTTCGCAGATTGCTTTTCTAAGATTAAAGTCCTCGTTAACAGTCTTGCATCTTTTTTTTGACTTGAGGAATGAGCTTGCATAATTTCATGAAAGTACTCAAAAGAATCAAACTTGTTTCGAAAATCACAATACAACCAATCTCAAAAAAGTGAATTTGATAAAAGAAATAATACCATTTGTTATGTCGGTAAGTGCTGCAGACATTCTAGACGGTGTAACTTCACTGCTGTTTGATATAGGCACCATGTTCATAGAAGCATTTCCATAAAAGACATTTTGTGTTAACTTCGCAGATCGCTTTTCTAAGATTAAAGTCCTCCTTAACAGTCTTGCATCTTTTTTTTGACTTGAGGAATTAGCTTGCATAATTACATGAAAGTACTCAACAATAATCAAATTTGTTTGAAAAATCACAATACAAACAAATCTCAAAAAAGTCAATTTGATAAAAGTAATAATACCATTTCTTATGTCACTAAGTGAAGCAGACATTATAGATGGTGTAAGTTCACTGCTGTATGATGTAGGCAACATGTTTTCATCATGCGCAAAATGCATAAACTTTGGTGTTTTATTCAAATTAGGTCCTTGCATATTCTCTCTTGAATGAGTTTTCCTGGAAATAAGTAAAAATAAAAAGATACTCATGCAATTATTTAAACAAATTGTAATATATTATATTAATTTTAATATATTTAGAATAATATACAAATTGGAAATCCATAATAATGTTTTTTACCTGAGAGATGTTTTATTAAGCAATTGACTTGATGTTTGGGAAAGTAAACTGTCAGACGACAAATTGACACTGAATTCATCTGCAAACAACAGGATAAATTTATTACAGTGGGTTATATTACAGCGTGATACTACTACTATGATAATAATGAGATAGAGCAGGCCTAACAATGGAACAATCTATTGAATTCAATGTTGGAAATGGAGTTGATGTGTCAATGGATGGGTTTACATATTGTTGTTGTTTTCCTTTCCCTGCAATGAAGTTCTTAACCGATTAGATTGACCAAAACAAAACTACAGTAAAGTGAGTTTAGACACATTGTCTGATGGCAACAAAAAAAAATAATGACCAATAAAAAGATAGAGAGGAATGTAATATTTAAATGAGCAGAAACCATTTGGTAGCAACATACAGCTAAAATTAAACAATTTAATACAGAACCAGCTTCTTATATTGCAGTTTCATGGTAATATCTTATAAGCAGAAAATAACAAAATAAATGATGCAAAGTGATAAAAGTAAAAAACCATTGCATGGAAAGAATGTAGTAAAAAACGAAATAGGATTATCTACCATGATAACAACAATAATTCATGACACATTACATGACGAACAAACATTCATTCATACAAAAAAGTGACTTTAGACAGACATTGTCACATACACAATTTAAAAAAAGGAAAAATAGACACAAACTTCTAAAATATTAAATCAGCCAAAAAAGACACAGAGTGCTATGCAAGAACACTATGGTTCAATTAAGTTGAACTAAAGATCGATCTGATTTTATTCACTGAAGTCAACATAGGAACATTTCATTACTTTAGTGAACTCAATATCTAGTTTTATGTATAATGGTTAAGGATTGTAGCTTCTAGACAAACACGATTTTTTGGTAGTGTTATTATTATGTTGTTATCTGATCTTTCAATATAATTAGAGATTTTGGGAAATTGTTAATTTAGTAGGAGGAAATCATTTTATGAATTGTTACTATAGATGGTGATAGATTCTTTGCCTTATGACCTTCTAACACCAACAGCTAATCTTATCTGATTCCTTATTGCAGAATGTGATTGATAAGTTTTGCAAATTCATTATTCACATTTATGGTGCGCCCTGAGCAGTCTTATGAGCTAATCTCTTAGTAATTGCAATGAGCACAATACAAAACGGTTCCAGTAATTATGGTGTTGGGGATTTCAGATTTCAAAACTTAATTTCAATGTAATGGTTTTTCCATACTTTAATCGACCTTTGTTGAGGATAGACTTGTGATGCTGGAGCAAGTATCTTTTCAACCAATATATGCAATAGTAATTTAGTTGCTAGGTAAGTTAAAATAAAATTAGATCATACATTTCATATACGTGTATTGAGTCTGAGATTATAAACACAGTAATGAAACATGAGATGAGGATTGCAAAAATGAAATCATATATGTAATAGATATATTCAAGAACCAATCATTGTTAAAGATTTAATGAACTGAACAAAACCATAAATGAAAAAGGAGAAATAACGAACCTTCTACTTTCTTCTTAACTGATTGATACATGGAGGCAAACAATCATCCAACGGGATGGTGGTAGGAATGCAGTAGATGAATATCGTTTATGTCAGAAAACGAAAAGTCACTTCCCCTTTTGTTGTATATATTAATTAGTAATAATTTGACCTTTATTTGAAATACCTTTGTTTTGGCAAATTTACTGTCTTTTCAGTTCATTGTTATATAACTTTGGCGCTAAAACATTCTTTGTAGGTCTGGTGGCACGATTAAGTGACTTTTCAGTTCTTTGTTATGTAACTTAGTCAATAATAAAGTGTCTGTTCCATAAGTGGGAAATGAAGGGGCATTAGAGGATGAGTGAAGGCACGAGAGAGTCCCAAGAATTTGTCTGTAACATAATTTTTAGAATTAGTAGCATTAAATAAGTTGTGTAGGTTGTTGCGGGTTTTTTTATTAAAAAAATTTGGATTTAAAGAAATATAAAAAAAAACATGAGTAAAAAGAAAAAAGAAATATCGAGTTCGGAATTCTGGTTATACCAAAAATTTTCTCGTCTCTTGCTACCGTGTCACATGGCATAATTTTATTGAGTTTACTATTGAACCTAAGTGGATAACACAAAAAAAAATTGGAAGACATACACCTCATATTAATTATGTTTTAATTAATTATATAAATAAAGTCAAATTATTTATTACACGAGATATCTAAAAACCATAAATTACTACTTTCTTAAGATGATATAAAAATATTAATAGCTGAAGGTTGGATTGTGAAGCTGCCATACTGTGCTTTTTATTTTCCTTCCCATTTTCATGTATGAAATTCACATTAACATGCATCTTCTATAAGTCACGTTAACATATATCGATATCTTTTTAATAAGTTGTGTAGGTTGTTGCAGGTTTTTTTTTTTAATTTAGCTGTTTAAAACTATATTAAATGATTATTAGTGTTCTGTTAGTATGGTAAGAATTTCCCCTACCATTCCGAAACAATGACAACATGAAGCTACTACCTACATAATCATTGTTTAATACTGAAGACCTAATTCGTGGAAATGTATGAATATATAACTTTGTTTCATTATCATAAGACATGTCATTTTGCTTGCAATTACATGTCACCTTGCATGTAATTGCAGTAACACGTGCCCAGTAGTTTTATTCTGCATGTAATTGATCATTGGTAATATATATGAAACAAAGAAGTATGATTGATAGAAGAAATAATTATTAATAATTATTTGACAACAACAACAAATTGCTAACGAAACTATAACCTTCAAATATTTGACAACAACAAATTTCCTATTGGATCTATTTGATAGAACATGCATTATGAAATTTTGAATCCCAAAACACAAGTTCAAAATAAGCTAGCTTTGTCTTAATTTGATCGCCAAAATTTATATTGATTCATGTCTGTAGATTAGTAAAATGAAGAAATTGGAAAGGTGTCAAGGCTCACTCTCAAAAAGTCAACAAATGGAAGTAAAATCCAAGAGACAGTGAAAAAGAAAATAAATAAAACTGTATAGTAACTAAAAATTTAATTAACAATGTGAAATGTAGTTAGTTAGGTAGGCTATTATACCAAAATCCAGTAGAAGACTAAATCCTGTAAGCATGGTTAGTTCCATCTCATTTTCAATGCTGCGGTTGATATATGGTTAGTTCTTGTAGAGAAAGTGAAGTGTAGGTTTTCATCTTTTACTTTCTTAATGTCATCATAGATGAAGACCAAAAAATGGTTAAAGGGGTTTAATTAATAACTTGTACAAATCATGTTGTCAACTATTTTGTGTAAAAAACTTTTTAGCCCCATTTTTATTTGGTGCTCAATGGCCTTTGTTGATTATGCAAATGCAGTATTAAAGCTGGAATATATTTGCCTACAATAATCAGATCAAATGACTACCTGGAAATCATAAACAATTATAGGACTTAAAATTTTCTGTTTAATGTTACAATGCATGAGATGCTTGTGGCAGAAATTGAATAGTTGTAGAAAAGTGTAATGCAAAAGTTCAATACCAATCCCTTATGGTTTTTTCGTTATTTCTTTTCATGCATTGAAATAGTTTGAATGACTTCAAGAACATTTCCAAGGTCTTTGTTTGTACTACTA